TAACCCTAACCCTAACCCTAACCCTAACCCTAACCCTAACCCTAACCCTAACCCTAACCCTAACCCTAACCCTAACCCTAACCCTAACCCTAACCCTAACCCTAATCTCAGGGACCATTTATTTCATCGACTCCTTCAAATCGATCTCACTCCAACAACTTCAATACAACCTCACTCAAACAATCCCACTAAACAACTCCATTAAAACGAGTCAACACATCCTTCAAACTCTAAAAACGCGACTTGACCAACTTTAAAACAACTCCACTTAAACTTAACTCAAACTTCACTCAAACTACCTCAACACAACCCCACTTAAATAACTTCACTAAACAACTCATCAAAATCACTCAACTCAACCTTTAAACGCTAAAAAACACGACTCCATCAACTTCAAAACGACTCCACTCAAACTTCATTTAAACTTCATCAAAACCATTTCAAACCATTCAACTAAAACAACTCCACTAAAACTTCCTTAAAACTACTTGTTTCAACCTCCAAATTCTACATTAATTCCATTAAATTGACTCGCCTTTACCCCACTTAAATTTCTTCCTGTCACGTGATGGTCACGTGATCTCAGCCTCCCCTACGACTACTTTACATTGCATCTCCTTACTCAAACTCTTTAAATTGCCTCTCCCACTCTTTCATCCGACTAAACTCGCCTTTTTGAGTCGTCCTTTGCTTGAACAAACTCCATTCTCTTTTTCCTACCCAAGCAACGCTTTGTACTCCCTCACTCTAAATCTGTCTTTACCCCACTTAAATTTCTTCCTGTCACGTGCGGGTCACGTGATATTGACCTCCCTACGACTATTTCACACTGCGTTTCTTTCCCCCAAACTGTTTAAACTGCCCCTCTACGTGTTCCTTTGCTCAAACAAGACTTTTCATACTTCTCCCTTCATGAAACAACTTTTCTTGTCGTTTCCTTGTCAAACAACACTTTCTGCTACTCCTGCTAAACCCCTGACTTTACCCCACCTAAATTTTAATCTGTCACGTGCTTTTCACGTGAGGATCACGTGACTTTGACCTCCCTACGACTATTCCATATTGCGTTTCCCTCTCCCAACTCTTTAAACTGCTACCCCCAACGTGTTTCTCAGCTTAAACATGGCTTTTTATGCTTTCCTTGCTTGAACAAAATCCATTCGTTACCTTCTGCCCAAACAACACTCTGTGCTACCCCACTTAAATTTCTGCCTTTAGCCCACTTAAATTTCATCTTGTCACGTGATGATCACGTGACCTTGACCTCCCTACGACTACTCTACACTCCACTTCCCTTACCAATACTTCACACTGCACCTTCCCTACCAATACTTCATACTGCACTTCCTCTAGAAATTCTTTAAAACTTGCTTTCCTACGCTTCCCTCTAGTCAAACATGACTTCTTAACACCCTCCTTCCTTAAACAACTCTCCTTGTCGTTCCCTTGTCAAACAACTCTCTGTACTACTCCTGCTAAACCCCTGACTTTACCCCACCCAAATTTTAATCGTATCACGTGTATTTCACGTGAGGTCACGTGATCTTGACCTCCCTACGACTATTCTACACTGCATCTCCTTCCCCCAAACTCTTCAAACTGCCTTTCTTACGCGTTCCTTCGCTTAAACACGACTTTTACGTTGTTTTCTGTTTAAATATTATTTTGTGCTGCTCCTTTCTTAAGCAAAGTTTACTCGTTGCTTCCTGCCTAAACAACTCTCTGTACTACTTCTGCTAAACCCCCGACTTTACCCCCACTCAAATTTCAACTGTTCACGTGATGGTCACGTGACTTTGACCTCCCTACGACTACTCCACATTGCGCTTCCTCCCCCAAACTCTTCAAATTGCCCCTCCTACACTTTCATCTGCTTAAACTGAACTTTTTACGCTTATTCTTGGTTAAACAAAGTCCATTGGTCGCCTCTCGCTTAAACAACACCTTGTGCTACTCCTGCTAAACCCCTGACTTTACCCCACTCAAATTTTAATCTTTCACGTGCATCTCACGTGTTGGTCACGTGACTTCGACCTGCCTACGACTACTCCACACTGCGCCTCCTTCCCCCAAATTGTTCAAATTGCCCCTCCTACACTTTCATCTGTTTAAACTCAACTTTTTGAGTCGTTTTCTCTTTCAACAAAACTCATTCGTTACCCCCTCTTCAAACAACACCTTGCACTGCCTCTCTCCAATTCCTGGCTTTACCCCACCCAAATTTTAATCCTGTCACGTGTGGGTCACGTGATCCTGACCTCCCCTACCAGCACTCCACACTGCGTTTCCCCCTCAAACTTCTTAAATTGTCTTTCCCGTGCTTTTATCTGGTTAAACGGTGCACTCTTTTCCCTACCCTGCTCAAACAACGTTCATTCGTTGCCTCTCGTCTAAACAATGCCTCACAGGTGCTCCCTCCAAATTTTGGCCTCACCCCACCCAAATTTCCTCGTTTCACGTGACTTTCACGTGTTGGTCACGTGACCTTGACCTGCCTATGACTACTCCACCGTGTGTTTAAAACGCAATCTTTTTGCAATCTTTTTGCCATTCTCTTGTCATTCTTTTACAAAACAAACTCTATTCTCCTTCTAACCCTATCCTAACCTCATCTAAACGCTATCTACACCTTAGTTGAATCCTATTGGCTGTTTTCGTTGCCATGGAAACAACCTCCCCCTTTTTTACCCAACCCTCCCCCTCTCCTCTAAACCCTCCCCTCTTCTTCTAAACCCCCGTTTCCTGCATCTAACCCTCGCTTTAGGCCATTTCTAAGCCATTCTGCTTGAAATTCTCCTAAAAACACCCTCTTAATGACCCTCCAATTTCAATTAAAATCTGACGTTTTTTAACTCCGTTTTTTCGCCTTTTAAACTGCAGTTTGAAGCCTCGCTGAGGTCCGGGCCTGAAAACAAATAAACCCTCCTCTGTGCTCCAAATCTGACCCTAAACCCGGGCCTAAACCTGACCCTCAATTCCATTCTAAACCCCCACTCTGAACTCTCTTCTAAACCCTTTTTTTTTGGTTTTTCTTGCAAAGAGGACCCACCCACCCTCCCCCCTCTCTCCTCCCAATTTATACCCCACCGGCTGTCCGTAACCCTCCCCGGCTGTCCCGTGCCCTCCTCCTCCCCTGTCCCCTGTCCCTTCTCTATCTTTATTCCCTCACCCCGCCCTCCACCTCCTTGATTCTTCCTTTCTTTGTACTGCTTCTCCTCATTTTATTCTATTGTTTTTGCTCCCCTGTTTTCTCCCTCTGTTCCTGTTTTTTTATCCACCTTTTGTCCATCACTCTTCTCCCTCACCTCGACTTCACTTGCTATCAATTCCCTCTCACCTATTTTTATCTATGCAAGAAATCCATCTTTTTTCTCCCTCCTCCTTCTTTTAAATCTAATCTTTACTCCTGCTTGTTCTTTCTTCTTGTTCTTGTTTTTTATCTACCACCCTCTCTCCCCTCGACTTTAACTCTGATCTGTTTCCTCCACCTACTTTTATCTGAATAATTTTACATAAAAAAGTCATCTTTTTTCTCCCCCTTCCTCCTTCCAATCTAGCATCTTCATGTGTTCTCTCTCTTGTGGCATTGCTGTTTTTTATTCACTACCCTCTCTCATCGACCCCAACTCTGATCTGTTTCTTTTACATAATTTTATTTACATAAAAAGGCTATTTCTCTTCTTATTTTGTGTCTTTTAAATCTAATATCTACTCCTGCTTGTTCTTTCTTGTTGTTCTTGTTTTTTATCTACCACCCTCTCTCCCCTCGACTCCACTTGCTATCAATTTCCTCCACCTACTTTTATTTACATAAATTTACATAAAAAGGCCATTCCTCTCGTGATTTCCTCTCTTTTAAATCTAATCTTTACTCTTGTTTGTTCCTTCTTGTTGCCCCTGTTTTTACTCACTACCCTCTCTCATCGACCCCAACTCTGATCTGTTTCTTCCACCTATTTTTATTTACATAAAAAAGTCTTTATTTTTCTCCCCCTTCCTCCTTTCAATCTAACCTCTACTCCTGCTTGTTTTCTCCTGCTGTTCTTGTTTTTTATTCATCCTCTTTTTGTCTCCCCTCGACTTTGGCTCTACTCAACTTTCTCCCCATCCAACGTGTTTTATAAAGAAAAAACGACTTTTCCTGACTCCCCTCCCTTCCTAGATTTGATTTTTATCTTTTCTTCTTTTCGTGTATTTTTCATATTTTCCATTTTATTATTTTTCCTGTGCTTTAATCATATTAAACTCTTTAATCTACTCTAACAAAAAAAAATAATTTCCCCTCTCTCTTTCCCTATCACTTTTCCCCGCTATTCTCATCTTCATTCACTCCTCTATATTCTATTCTTTCTATTTCTCACTCAATTATCCTTGATGATTCATTTATTTACATCTGTCCACCCCGTGCCCACTTTCACTAAATTTACAAAAACACCTTCACTACGCCTCACCTTCACTCTAAACACTCTTTCTACTCCTCTAAACGCTTCTCTCTTGTTTTTTTCTTTTTTTTTATCCACTCACTTCCCCTCCTCCCAGCTTATCACCTACTTTTACTTTTTTAAAAAAATTCATCTTCCCCCACCTTAAACCATTCGTTTTGTTTTTGATGGCCCTCCCCTTCTCGCCCCCCTCTGACTCTTTCCCTTTCATTCATTTTTTCTTAATGGCACCCGAGCTCTGTCTCTACAGCTCATCTTGATCTCTGAAAAATCATCTTTTTTTGACTCTAATTTTGATTTTATTTCAAAACAGTGCTCAAATACGCTATGGAAATCTTTCTAAACACTAATTTCTATCAATTCTTATATCAATTCTTGTATCAACGCCTCTGTCAACGCCTCAGTCAACGCCTCTCTCAACGCTTTTATCAACGCTTGCAAACACCAACTCTATTCATCAACCCCCAACTCCCACCCATTGTTCTATCCCATCATCTCTCCATCACTGCATCTCACCTCGACTCCATGTGGGGCAAATCCGGGGTAGGCGCTGAATGCGCTGATAACGACATGGCACAACAAACAGCGGCCACTCATCCGGGCAATACATGCTATTTGCACAGGGAACACGCTACTTTATGTGTAATGCACTTTCAATTGATGCTGAAGAGATCATACTCTACTCTTTCCTGCCCTATCCTGCCTCCTTATCTGTTAAATATACATGCCCATTATTAAATCCTGCCCATTTGCTTTTTAAATCATGAATGAAATCATCATTACCACTAGCACCCCCCTCATCACACTCCATCCACTCATCCTCAACCCTTCACTCGGCTTCACCTCTCCTGCTTCATCTTCCTCTCCTGTCGTACACTTCGTAGGCTTACACCGCCTCGTCGAGGTCAAGGTTATTCTTGATGTGACTGTGGAAGTAGTCGTAGAAGTGCTAGTATGGGTCGATGTCTTTGTGACCCATGTGTCTGTTGTCTGTAGAGACTGGCAGTCTGTTGCCTTTACGTCTTTAACGGTTGTTGTCGTCGTCGTTGTCGTTGTAGTTGTTACGTTTTTAGTTACTATTTCGTGTGGCTTTATTTCTAGTGGTTTCAATCCACCACATGTTTTTTCGATTTTGGTGCATGCTTCCTCAATGTCTTTGCATTCCTCTTTAAATCCACATCCTTTCTCTGAATCGTGACATAATTCTTTCAACTCTACATACAAGCTAAATGCTTGAGATACCAAATCAAATGCTTTTAATTCCTTTTCTGTAACATATATTTTTTCTGTCACAGGTGTGTTTATATTTCTTCTTACAAGTTTAAATAATACTGTGTTTTGTGTTGTATTCGGTGCTGCTGGTGGTGTGTTCGGTGCTGGTGCTGGTGCTGATTCTGATGGTACTGTTTTACCTGCAGGTTTGTTATCTGTTGTTTTTGCTTTTGATAAAACAAGATTTGCTTTTTCCATTGCTTCTTTTGCTTCTTTTTTGATATCCTCATATTTGTTAGCTTTTTTCTCCAACTCTTTACTGGCCTCTGTGAGTTCTTTTTTTAGCCCAGGACATTGCTTTTTTACTTGTTCTACCAATTTCTCGCAAAGTTCTTTTCTAAGATCATCTTGCTTGCTTTTTTTTTTCTTGTTTGTGCAGAAAGTTTCAAGTCCATTACTTGCATTCACCCATTGTGTACAATATTTGTCAAGCTCCCCCTTACATTTTTCTTTTGTGTTCAAATGACCCTTCAATTGGTCAACTAGTTTTAATTCCAACTCTTTCTTTTTGATGAATATTTCGCATTCCTTGTTAAGTTCTTCACACTTCCCATCATTAGCTTTCATTAAGTTTTTGCAACCTGACATAAACTTGCTGCAATACGATCCCCAAAATGTACATATTGTCTCTGTTTTATTCTTCTTTACATTTTCTAAAATGTTATTTGTTTTCATATGTTCATCCAATCTAGCACACTTAGATCCAACCCTTTCTGTAAGAATCTTGCAAGTAATATTCTGTGTTACACATGAAAGAGTAAAACGAGTTCTTCCTCTTCTAGTCCAATCATTACACCACTTTCCCAATTTTTCTACACATAAATCGAAATCATCTAACCCTTGTATCTTTTCTAGCAATAATTTTTCCTCTAATTCCTGTGTATTCCTTAAACGGTCGCAATGCTGATTCAATGTAAGACATGGCCACTTAATTTCTTTTGAATCTTGTCCTAGTATTCTGCACTTTTCTTCTAATTCTTTACAATCTGTTTCCGTTGGAAAATCTCGCTTTTCGTCTAATTGTTCTCGTAGAAAAATAGCTCTAAATCGTAAATCTGTTGAAACTACAAAAGCAGCCTTTTTTGGCTGAACACACAACACAAATAGTTCATCGCTCTCTTCTTTTAATTTCTTGCAAGCTTTCACTATCTTCTTTTGAAGGTTTTCATGCCATGTTTTATTCGAGCCTTGCAATAGCCCCCTCAAATTGTTTTGTAATGCTTCATTTGCTACTGCTTCAAGTCCTTTTTTATAACACGCTGTTTTTAGATTATTACAAGGCTTATCAGAAGGTCCATAGCCTTTTAAATAAAAGCAATCTGATTCTAGAGTTCTGCAATCTTTGTCACTAAGGAATGTTGATAGATCATGCCACGTAATGATCATATTTTGACCACTTGTGATGAGAAGTTTGTTTTCGATCTTTGTAACGAGAATTTGGGTACTTTTTGTATGTTCTTTCTGCAATTTATCACATTCTTTCTTTCCATCTGCACTTGCTTTATCTTTATCACACAAACTCTTCAGAATTTCATGTTCTTTAAGGTTTTTGCACTTTTTATCAAGTATATCTTTACATTTATCTACAACCGTAGATTTAGTGCTACTTTGGCTTAATAAAAGTAAAAGCTCAGTCGCATCTCTTGTGGGTGGTCTTCCAATACGAACTCCCTTTTTTGCTGCCTTTTTATAAAGTTCTTCCAATTCTATTTCTTCCGCCAATGTAACTCCTGGTCTTGTAGGCTCAAAATCCGAACCAGGCTTTGTATAAGTTATGCCTTTTTCTTTACAATCACTCGCAAGCTTTTCGCAATTCGGTTCATTACCAATACAATCGGTATCATAAAAGTAACACTCTCTAAGCAATGATGGGCATTTTATTTCTAATTCCTCATTTTTAGGTAGTACTTTTTCAATTTCACTCTTGAGGGATTTGCATTTATTTTGTTCTTTAGCCATAATATTCTCGCACGTCTTTTCCTCATTAAAACATAACAACATTAACTCATCACTTTCTCCACTTAATAACGGGCAAACCTCCTTAAGCTTTTCTTCACATGAATCTTTTTTTTTAAGACTTCCACTAAGTGCTCTTAAAAGAACTTCTTCTGCAACATTGTCCCGTTCTTTTTGATAGCATTTATTTCTCAAAGTATTGCAATCTTCTTTAAGATCTGTTGGACATGCTCCCTCCAAAAATAGACATTGTCGTTCATGCTCCTTACAATCGTCATCCGTCAGTTTTGAAATTTCTTCCTTTGCTTTTGTTTTAAGTTTATCTTTGAATGTGCTACATTTTTCTTCAATTTTGGTTTTTAGTTCTTTGCATTTTTTTTCTTCTTTTCCATCATTGCAAAAATCTTTTAATTCTTTATGTACTTTTTCTGATGTTAATGAAACATTTTTCAGTCCATTGCAGTATTCTTTTATTTTATTTTTACATTTATCTTCATTTTTATAATCTGCTTTCATAATCAAAGCCAAAAGGCGTTCTTCAGTTTCATCATTCTGTACTCCTGCTGCCCTCCGCTTAACCGCCCGCGCCACCGCCCGCGCCAAGCTGTGCCTGACGGGGGTGGGTTTGCGCTGTGGTGTGTGGTTGAGTTTGAGTTTGAGTTAATGTGTTTTGACTACATGTGAGATGTAGAGTTATGTTTTCATACTGAAATTAACTATTGAATTCTTTGTTAATTCCAAGATTCTTATGGAAATTCAGTGACAAAACCTGTCAGAGAAGCACTGTGTGTGCTGAAGTATATCTTTAGTGTGTCCATACAATATTCTGATGTTTGAATATCGTAGTATTTAAATTTGTGTGGGGTAAATGCGGGGTAAATGCGGGGTAACCGTAAAACTTGAATAGATAAAAAGTAGAATATAAAAGGACATAAACGAGAAGTAAAGGCTATTTAGACAAAGAATAGTGGCCAATTAGATAGGGAACACGTGATTTCATGTGTAATGCACTTTCAATTGATGCTGAAGAGATGACTCAATCTACCTTACTCTTTCCTCTCCTACCCTGCTTGCTCATCTAGTAAATATACATGCTCATCATTAAATCCTGCTCATTTGCTTTCTAAATCATGAACGAAATAACCATTGCTACTATCACCCCCCTCATCACATTCCACCCACTCATCTTCAATCCCTCATTCGGTTTCACGTCCTCTGCATCATCCCCTGTCGTACACTTGGTTGGTTTGCAACGCCTCGTTGATGTGAGTGTTATTTTTGATGTAATCGTAGATGTGATGGTAGACGTGCTTGTGTGTGTTGATGTCTGTGTAACCCATGTGTCTGTTGTCTGTAAGGATTTGCATTCTGTTGCCTTCGGATCGGCAACGGTTGTTGTTGTCGTTGTGGTCGTCGTTGTGCTTTCTGTCACTGTTTCGTGTGGTTTCACCTCCAGAGGCTTCAGATTGCGACATATCTTTTCAATCTTTTCACACACATCTTTTAAATCATTGCAATCGTCTTTAATCCCGCAATCCGAAGTTAATTTCTCACATCTTTCTTTCAAGTCTACATATCTTCCAAATACTTCTGCTGCCAAATCAAATGCTTTGGCTTCCAATTCTGTCACAAGTACATCCTTAACTCCTCTCCGTAGTATTTTCATATGTTCTGTGGTATCTTGAAATCCGTTTGAAACGGCATTCTTATCCTTGTTTTTGCTATTACTTTTTGATACATTACTTTCGTTTTTCTTAATGAGTGACAAAACAAGACTGGATTTGTTCATTGCTTCCTCTGCACGTTTCTTAAGTTCCTCATATGTCTTATAATCTTTTTTTAGATCAGCAGCCGGTTGCCCTAATTCTGTTGGTAATGCTTTGCACTGTTCTTCCACTTCTTTCACTAATTTCTCACAGAGTTCCTTTCTAACTTCATCATCCTTTTTAGGGTTACCCTTGGTGTTATCTTTACATAAACTTCTGATTGACGCATTATTTGCGTTTCCCGCTACTGTACAATATCTTTCTAATGCTGTAGCACATCCATTTTTCTCACTCAACTTTCCTCGAAGTTCAACTTTGAGAGCGTCTTCCAAGGCTTTTCTTTCATAAAATGGCTTACAATTGTTTTTAATTTTTGTACAAGGATTCTTTTTTGAAAAATCTAGACAATTAGGTGAAAATTTGTCACAGTATGGGTCCCAAAATGGGCAAACATTTCCTAATGTTGTTATGTTATTTGTATTATTTTTAAGAAATCCAACAATCTCTGATGCTTTTATATTTTTTTCAAATACTTCACATCTATCTTGCACGTCTTCTACCATCAGCTCACATGTAGCGTTCTGGAAGACACATACAAAGGAGAAACGGTCATCTCCTCTTCTAGACCATTCATTACACTTTTTTTTCAGATATTTTACACAACTTTCTTGATCTTTCAAAGTATCCTTGTGTTCATTTAGTAAAACCTGCTTCAAAATTTCTGTAGTCCCCAAGCGATTGCATTGCTGCTCCAGTGTATGACATGGCCACGTAATTTCTTTTGAATCCTTTCCTAAATCTTGGCATTTTCTCCCTAATTCTTTGCAATCTTTGTCCGTTGGAAAATCTCGTTTTTTATCCAACTGTTGTCGTAAAAAGATAACTCTCATTTGATGGTCATGTGTAAGTAATCGTGCTGCCTTTGCTGGTTGTATACACAGAACAAACAGTTCATCGTTTGAGAAACTTCCTTTATTTCCTTTCAGTTTCTCACATACTTTTACTAATTCTTGTTGAAATTTCTTAAGCCAATCTTTATTTGAGCCATGCAATAACCCTCGCATATTTTTTTGCAATATATTGTTTGCCCGTGCATCAAGCCCTCTCTTATAACACGCTGCCCTTACGTTCGCACATGATTTTTCGCCATCTTGGCATTTTTTTTCAAAATAGAAACAATAGGACTCTAATTTTGCACAATCTTCGTTGCTAAGAAATGTTGGTAATCCTCCCCATCCAATAATTCCATTACTTCCTTTTTTTGAGTCAAAAAGATGATTATTTGTAAGCTTTGACGTGAGAATATCACATGTTTTTTTGATATCTTTTTCTAATTCATCACATTTTTTCGTTCCATCATTACTTAGATTATTTTCTTTACACAGATTTTCTAAGGCTTCATGTTCATGAGGGGTTTTGCATTTATTTTTAAGAACTTCATTACATTTTGTTTTAACATTTGTATCTTTTTCAACCAACAACGTCAACAAAGCTGTCGCATCTCTTACTTGTTGTCTTCCAATAAAAACACCATCCTCCTCTGCCCTCTTATAAAGTTCTTCCAGTCCTATATCTTCTGCTAGTGTAGCCTCTGGCCTAGTTGGATCAAAATCGGGTCCTGGTGGTATATAAACAATGTTTTGTTCCTGGCATTTCTCTCCCAATTTAATACATTCAATTATATCGTCTTCTTGGCAATTTCCAACGTAAAAATAACATTCTTCAAGTAATGATAGACATTTTTCTTTTTTAAAACTTCCAAGTACTGTTTTAACATCTGTTTTAAGAGTATCACATTTCTTATTTCTTTCTTTTATAATATTCTCGCATGTCTCTTTCTGGTTCAAACACGAGTCCGTTAACTCATTACTTTCCCTCCCCAAGACTGGGCAAATCTCTTTTAGTTTTTTTTTGCATGTCTCTGTTTCATTGAGATCACTACGAAGTGCCCTCAAAAGAACTTCTTTTGCTACTTCATCCCGCTTCTTCTTATAACATTTATTTCTTAAGTCAGTACATTTTTCTTTAAGATCATCAGGGCATGCTTCCTCCAAAAATAGGCATTGTCGTTCATCCTCTTTACAATCATAATTTTCTCCTAATGCTTTTGATACTATAGAATTTAAGGTTGCTTTATGTGTTTGACATTTTTTTGTAATTTTAGCTTTTATACTTGTGCACTTCTTGTCTTCATCCTTGCAGATATCTTTTAGTTTTGGATAGATTTTATTTAACTCTTTATTTGCTTCTTTTAAGTTTTCACAATATTTTTTCAGTTTTTCTTTGCATTTTGCATCTTCCAATCCATCTTCTTTTAAAACCAAAGCCAAAAGAATTTCATCATCATCATATACACTAGCTTTCTGCACTGCTTGTACCTGCCGCTTGACCGCCCGCGCCACCGCCCGCGCCAAGCTGTGCCTGACGGAGGTGGGCTGCGCTGTGGTGTGTGGCTGAGTTTGAGTTTCCGTTAATGTGTTTTGATTTCATGTGAGATGTTAGAATCATGTCTTCAAATTTGAATATTAAATTATCCTTAATTAATTTTAAGGGAGTTCAAGTAAATTCAGTGACAAAACTTGTCAGACAAGCAACGTGTGCTAAGCGTATTCTTAGTGTGTCCATTACAAGTGTATCTTGATTTCTTCGTGAGATGCTTTAAATTTGTATGGGGTAAATCCGGGGTAAATCCGGGGTAAATCTGGGGTAATCGTAAATCTTAACAAGTGAAAGGTATAGTATAAAAGGAGATAATAAAAAATAAAGGCAATTAAAAAAAAAATATGGGCAAACTATGTAGGAAACTTTTATAGTATTGTTCTGTTATATCATTATAGATATTAGAAAAATTAGAAAATTCTCGGTAGAGTATGCATTGAATATGATAGTTATAGTGGCTTTTTTTCAAATAAAATTTTTCATTCGATATACATGTGTTAATATTATTAATAGATTTTCTAGTTCTATTAAAACTAGCTATAATCTCATTTTTAAGATTATCGTATTTTTCATTTTTTTAATTCAATATTTTTATCTATAAAAAATATTGTTATTTTAGATTTTTTTATTCCAATTTTATTTTTTGTCTAAAACTATTCTACATATCTTTATTTTTTACTTATTTTTTGTATTTAGTTTTATCAAGTCAAAATCTAAATTCAAAACTATATAGTTTCTCGTATTCTATGTTTTTTGCTGTTTTTAGAATTTAAATTATAAAAATACTTTTTAACTAATGGTAATTATTTTTAAAAAAATATTGATGTTTTCAAGTATTTCATTAGTTTTTTATTTTAAGATTATTTTTTTTAGTTATTTATACATGTTTTTTGCATATTTTCTACATTAACAAATTTTATACAATTTGACTAGTTTTAAGAAATTCATTTTCAATTTAAATTTACGACTTATAGTTTTATTTCTAAATTTGTGTATTCTTAAATTGTTTTGTTTTGGAAATTTAGATATTTATTAAACTTTTTAATTTTTTATATACTTTGAATTTTATATTATTAAATTTATGGTATTTTTTAATTTTTCTTTCTATATTGATATTATGTTTTTAAGATTGTTAAAGGTATTTTGTTCTATTATACAAAATAGTTTTTTAGTATAAAAAATGTTGATCCTTAAAATCTAAATTTTGACTGTCAAAAAGTTAGGTTAATTTACAAAAAGGATGTTTTTTAAAAGAGATAATAGTTTTAGAGAATAAACAAATAAATATATCCAATATATTCAGTCGTATTTATATGTCCTATAGCTCTACCAGAGATGGATTGTAAAATGAAAAAATTGTCTTTTAAA